ATATATATATATAAATGCATAATCTAATGTTGTGTGCTCAAATTTCGGATAGGAGAAAAATAAAAATAAATAAATAAATAAAATTTCTTTATAGATATTAATTCAAAAATATTGTGATTAGATCCTTGATCTTCCTGTGATCCTAGCATTTGGGTTAAGCCTTTTGTCCTGTACAATTAAGGTAAGTAAATTATGATAATGCCCTTAAATTTTAAAGTATATTTTAACTTTTTTTGAAATGGTGGCGAGGTTTAAATGGATTTAATTGCATTTGAGCATGATTAAAAATGGAAATGGAACTTTTATTATTTTCCTTATTTTCTAGAATTGAGCATGCCCATGTGAGAGTCTTTCAATTTATTCTTGAAAGTGAGAACGATTATGAATCATGGTTTTTCTGTAAATTTGCTTGGTTTTGTTTCCAATATGGTCATGTTATTCGTGTGCCCGCTAGTGGGAGGTTTATAAATGCTAGCACATGTCGACATGTTATTGATAGGACCGGTTTGCTCGTGTTATCCTACTAGTGGGATTATACACTAGTAATCGTGTGCCGGCCAGTGGGAGGTTTATAACACTGGTCATGACTAATAGAGGAGCTACATTAATGGTTTGTTATTGAGACGCTCTGTTTATATTTAAACTGTTTATTTGGCATGCTTTAAATTTTGATCCCAGGCATCCATATTTACTTACTGAGATATTTTATCTCACAATTTTCCTTGTCTACCATTTCAGGTAGTGAGACCCGACGCATGGGGAGCCCGGGGGAGTGACGAGCTAGACGGCTAGGCATTATTTTGGACTTAAGTTTTGTAGCTAGACCGCTAGTCACCCATGCTGACTTAGAAATTTTTGTGTACAGAACTCCCTTAGTTATAATCATGACTGTATAAATGAAGTTATAAATCCTTGTATATTTTGACTAGTAAATTTTTAGAAAAAAAAAAGAAAAAGAAACTAGATATTACCCGAGTTTCTAAATCTGAATCATCTGAATTAGTAATTATGAACTCAGTAAGTTTCGAGCTTTGTGTATTTGTGGGACCCGTTCCCGAGTGCAAGACATCTATTTCGCTCTTGGTTTTGGGGCATGACAGATTTTGTAGTATCATAGCTTAGGTTTAATTAAGTGCCTAGGATTAGTCTAGAACTTGGCTAGCAAAGGAATGATAAGAATGTGGTGAGGCATGAGAGTGGGGTTGATTAAAGGCACTTGTGTGATTCTTTCTTTAATGTGTGTTGGTTTCCTTTGTTTTGATGTTTGGTTAAATGCTAAATTTAGTCCCTCAACTTTACAAAATGAACATTTTTGATTCCTTAACAATTTTTTGCATTTTTTTTATCCTTTAACTCTAAAAATTACACAGTTTTGGTCCCTCCGTCAGTTAATTATGATGTGACAGTTAAATAATTTCATGT